GAATCACATAGAACAGGAGAGGACGGTCTGGCAACTTTGTACATGCGCAACCTGTCAGGATGGGGTCGGGCATGCAGAGAACTCTTGAAGGAGGCCCACCGTGATATGATCACATGCCCAGCGCTCCATGTACTTCCCGAGGGTTGCGCAGAAGTCTTGCATGAAGAGAATACGCTTGGGTATCAGCCAATTGATGTGCCCTCGTATGTCAACCAGAAGTCAAGAAGGCAGCAGGCATCACGGGCGCCAGAAGGAGGTTCCAGCGTCAGACGTTCAGACATTTCGCGACGAAGCCAGAGTTTCATATGGGATTGGGAGATATTGACAGGACTTCGATGATGGGCACATATTTCACGGACTGAACGGGCGCCCAGCTCAAAAGTGGGAGGCCAAGCTGTCCCAGTGCTCGGTACTTATATCAGTTGGCGCCAATGGACGCAACGTTACGAAGCCCATTCAGTTAGGCACCTTGCCGCAGTCCATCAAGACTCCTTGGCTGGTGATTGGAAGTGTCAGTGCTTCTCCGCAGCAGTTTGGAAAAAAGCTCTGGGTGGCCAGAGCTGCTCGAAGGATAGGTCAGAATTGGTGGGGATCAGACTGCGCGCGCGCGTCAGGTTCCTATCTGCAGATCGACTATATGCCAGCTGTTTCATATAATGATCAGGTTCATCGTAGATTGCTAAGCGGATGGCGGGTCTTGTGTTGCCGCTGGCAACAGTACATGTCGGCATGCACGTCAGGTTGGAGCTCGAACTCGAACAGGCGATGAGAACGGCGCTGCCGACGCCACAAAGACGTCAGTTTCCTCAAAGGCCGCGGGCGCAGAGGGGCCCGTCGAGCAGGAGGTCCAGGAAGTTGGCGCTGGCGGACTGGCGGAGGCGTGGAGCAGCAAGAGACAGATTGCCAGCAGGCAGACGCACCGACTCAGAGTTTTCTCGCACGGAAGTCGCGGATTCCGCTCGCGTCTACACCTCCGCCACAATGCCCTCGGAACCAAGAGTTGGGCGTTGAAGATCCGACCCAGACTAGCTCGGATGATAAAACCTGATGCCCCCCAGAGATGCATTGCCCCTGGCCTCGGGCTAGATGCCTGCCCGCCCTCAATATCTCGGTCGCGAGGAGCTGCGCTCCGAGCGCCATGGAAGGGGGGTGTCGCTCATGAAGTGGGGGCGTCTCCAGCCGCTTCGGCCAGTATTGGCGCTGCCCCTGGCCTAGGGCCGGGCGCCCGCCCTGGGCCCCGAGCGCTCTGGAAGGGGTTGGGGTGTCGCCCCTGGAAAGGGAACGTCCTCAGCGGCTCGGCGAGGACGATTGGGGGTGAGCTGATCGTTGCTGCCCGATATGCCCAGAGAGACTCAGTGCGCGCTGTGGGATTCCCTGGCGGGGCAGACGGAGCGCGCCAGGCCGCCGAGGCATGTCGCTGGGCCGCCGGCTTTCCAGCTCGATGAGAAGACGGCTTTGGTCGTCGGAAGGACCTTTGCTGATTGGACCAACGGGTTTGAATATTTTCCCCGCGCGCTCTCGGGCATCCACCCCAGGGGCGAAGCTAATCATCGATCGGGGAAGAGGATCCATGGGGGGGGCGCCCATCTTGTCTCGCCGAAGGTCCTGCTGCTCATTGGTGGCCCGCAGTAGACTTGATGCCCCCTGATGTCGCTATCCAACTTCGCAGCGGGCGCTCGCCCAGAGGTTAGAGGCTTTTTGAGGGGCTGAGGGGTGCAGCCACCACGGCCCTAGCGTTTCCCTTGTTGCCTGTGGCGCCCAGGGTCTCTCAACGCGGCCTGTATGCGTGCCAGGGTCGGAGAGCGTGGCAGGCGTTGTACTTTCTCGACACCATAGGGGGTGCGCAAAGGGTGGTCCCTCACTGCGGCCGCTATGCACGACGGTCGTCCAGTGTATAGCAGGCGTGGCATTTTCTCGACACCGCTGGGGGTGCGCAGGGGGTGGTCCCTCAGCGCGGCCGCTATGCACGACGGTCGTCCAGTGCATAGCAGGCGCTGCATTTTCTCGACACCATAGGGGATGTGCAGGGGGTGGTCCCTCACCGTGGCCGCTATGCGCGCCGGTCGTCCAGGGCATAGCAAGCGTGGCATTTTCTCGACACCATAGGGGGTGCGCAGGGGGTGGTCCCTCAGCGCGGCCGCTATGCACGCCGGTCGTCCAGGGCATAGCAGGCGTGGCATTTTCTCGAGACCGTTGGGGGTGCGCAGGGGGTGGTCCCTCACCGCGGCCGCTATGCACGACGGTCGTCCAGGGCATTGCAGGCGTGGCATTTTTTCGACACCACAGGGCGTGCGCAGGGGGGGTCCCTCACCGCGGCCGCTATACACGACGGTCGTCCAGGGCATAGCAGGCGTGGCATTTTCGCGACACCATCGGGGGGGGGCGCAGGAGGTGCTCCCTCAGCGCGGCCGCTATGCACGACGGTCGTCCAGTTCATAGCCGGCGTGGCATTTTCTCGACACCGCAGGGGGTGCGCAGGGGGTGGTCCCTCACCGTGGCCGCTATGCGCGCCGGTCGTCCAGGGCATAGCAGGCGTGGCACTTTCTCGACACCATAGGGGGTGCGCAGGGGGTGGTCCCTCACCGCGGCCGCTATGCACGACGGTCGTCCAGTGCATAGCAGGCGTGGCATTTTCTCGACACCATAGGGGATGCGCAGGGGGTGGTCCCTCACCGTGGCCGCTATGCGCGCCGGTCGTCCAGGGCATAGAAGGCGTGGCATTTTCTCGACACCGTTGGGGGTGCGCAGGAGGTGCTCCCTCAGCGCGGCCGCTATGCACGACGGTCGTCCAGGGCATAGCAGGCGTGGCACTTTCTCGACACCACTGGGGGTGCGCAGGGGGTGGTCCCTCACAGTGGCCGCTATGCGCGCCAGTCGTCCAGGGCATAGCAGGCGTGGCACTTTCTCGACACCATAGGGGGTGCGCAGAGTATTCGGGCATAGCAGGCGTGGCAGTTTCTCGACACCATAGGGGGTGCGCAGGGGGTGGTCCCTCACCGCGGCCGCTATGCACGACGGTCGTCCAGTGCACAGCAGGCGTGGCATTTTCTCGACACCATAGGGGGTGCGCAGGGGGTGGTCCCTCAGCGCGGCAGCTATGCACGACGGTCGTCCAGGGCGTAGCAAGCGTGGCGCTTTCTCGACGCCATGGGGGGTGCGCAGGGGGTGGTACCGCACCGTGGCCGCTATGCGCGCCGGTCGTCCAGGGCATAGCGGGCGTGGCGTTTGCTTTACACCACAGGGGGTGCGCAGGGGGGGGTCCCTCACCGCGGGCGGCCGCTCCGGTCGTCCAGATCATAGCAGGCGCTGCATTTTCTCGACGCCATAGGGGGTGTGCAGGGGGTGGTCCCTGACCGCGGCCGCTATGCGTGCTGGTCGTCAAGGCATAGCAGGCGTGGCATTTTCTCCACATTTACGGGGTGCGCAGGGGGTTGTCCCTCACCGCGGCCGCTATGCGCGCGGGTGGCCACCTCGAATCTGTCCTCGATGGAGGATAGAAGGCTAGGAAGAGGGAGGAGGTTCAAGCAATATGGCGTTGGATGACACATAGGCGAACATTCGCGACGAGGGCTCAGAACGCAGATTTGCGCATATATTATAAACTCAAGCAAACACATCATATTGGAGAGGCCTGACGGCCGGTGCCGCCGACCCTGATCGAAAGGGCTAGGAGTGGGCGGAGGAAGCGGAGGAGGAGGAGGAGGAGGAGGCGGAGGAGGAGGAGGAGGAGGAGGAGGAGGAGGAGAAGGAGGAGGAGGAGGAGCAGGAGCAGGAGGAGGAGGAGGAGGAGGAGGAGGAGGAGGAGGAAGGAGGAGGAGGAGGAGGAAATGCATCCTTTGTGTGCCCGCTCGAAGAAAGTGCGCCTTGGGAGTGTGATATTCTGACTTGGGACGTGCTCCCGGATGAGGAAGAAGTGCATCTCGGGCGTGCCCGCTCGAGGAAAATGCGCCCTAGGGGGGTGGTATGTTGACTCGGGGCCCGCTCCTGGGACGCCTCTGCGGGAGGAGGAGGAGGAGGAGGAGGAGGAGGAGGAGGAGGAGGAGGAGGAGAGGAGCAGGAGAGGAGCAGGAGGAGGAGGAGGAAAAGGAGGAAGAGGAGGACCAGGAGGAGGAGGAAATGCATCCCGTGCGTTCCCGCTCGAGGAAAGTGCGCCCTGGCGGGCGTCGTTTCTGCTCCGCCCCCCCCCCCTCTGCGGGGAAGGGATCAAAGGGAAGGGGCTCCCCTTCGACTCCACTAAGACGTCGTTTAATTTCGATTTGGATGGCGCGCTTGAGGAGGAGAGCCCCGGGAGGGGGAGAACGGAGACGACGGAGACGACGAGTCGAACGGAGAAGCCCCTCACACACGCCGACAGGGTCGGCTGACTTTAATTAAGTATGTGGGGTTCCTCGGAGGCCGCATTCTTGGATGCAGTCGGGAATGGGGTAGCGCTGTCTGTTTTGGTTGTGGGTGCGTGGCCGCCCAAGCTGTTCGCAACCTCGGAAAGCAGTGTTCGACTTCAGTTGGCCAATGCGGCAAGCGTTTGCTAGCCAGGCTCGCCAGAAGCAAGCTGGCTAAGAGCCAACTGGTGATTAGGAAGGTTTGGGGCGATTTCCGGGCCTCACAGGCGGTTTCAGGCGCCCAGAAAACCGAAGAACAGGGCAGTCCCACAATCATGTACAAATTCTGAAACATGCTTCTCCTACCCCCGCCGTGCCCGCAATGCGCGGCGCAGGCGGTCTGCAGCTTCTCGGCCCAAGACCCTCGCGTCTGCGGGCCGCGGCCTCCCCTCGCCCCCCCCCCTCTCGGGACGCGCGCGCGCGTGGGGGGAGGGCTGCGGGATTTTTTCTTTCAAGGACGCTGCCGCCTTCCCCCCTCGTCGGGACATCGGGGTGGCGGAGAGCGCACTTGCTTCGCCGCCCCGACTCCCTTGGGGGGGCCCCCGTCTGCCTCGGGCTGGCGGTGGCCTTGAGCAGCGGGCTCCCGCTTTCGCTGCTCAGCACGGGAGTCGTCTCCCTGTTGACGACTGCCGTGGCCTGCGGCTTGTGCGGGTGCGTGGCTGCACCTGCCTGGCGGGGCAAAGGCGCTTCAGGCGCCCCCCGCGCGTGGCGGCTGAGCACCCGCTGGGTGTTTAGGGCCGTCGCGCGGCGCGAGCAGGTCCGCCGGCCCCAGCCTCCTGGCCGCGTGGCCAGTCTGGACGTGCGTCCAGGGGCCTGTGTGCCCTCACCGCCTTGGCTGCCTTCGCCTCGGCTGTGTTGCGTTCCGCTCGTCCTCCCTGCTCGGGGTGCAGTCCCCCGCTGGCGTGAGGTGCTTTTGCTTGCTGCCATGATGCATCCATTGGTGCGCCTGGCTTCTGTGCCGGTGCCAGACGGCGTCCCGTGGCCGGGCCTGCTTCCAGTCGACCGCCCGCCTTTCGTAGCATCGTGGCCGGTAGTGCCTACCTGGCCGCAGCCGCAAAACTCTTCTCCCCCCTCCCCCTACTTCTTCCCCCTGGCCCTCGGGGCGGAGGAGCTGGAGATTCATTTGAGGAGAGGACGAGGGGGAGGAGGAGGACAGGGAGGAGGAGGAGCGTACACGCCATGTGCTCCGGCACAACGAAAAGGCGAGCTCCTTGGCGGCTCCGCCGGACAGCACTATCCGGCGGCGAGTCCGGCCCATCCTCGTGCGAATATTCCCGCTGGCGAGATCCCTGCCGCAGGCGAGCGTTCTGGCGGCGGCAACGGACGGCACTTTCTGGCGGCGGGCCTGGCCCCTCCTCTCGCGAGAACTCCTGCTGGCGAGAGCCTTACCAAAACCAAGGCGGACAAAGGCGCAACGACAACTGCGCGGGGTATGGAGGAGTCGGAGCGGGTGGACCTCACTAACCTCCACCTCCTCTCCACTCCCTCACCTCCTTTCGCCGCTGCGCACCGGCTCGGACGCGTGTCTCGGCAACCCAGCCGTCATATGGGGGCCGCCAGGTCCGCGGATGCCGACGGCTTTCCGCGCGCGGTGCGCTCGGGCGCCAACGGCGTCAGGGCACCCGCGCCTCT